CCTCAACAGCCATGAAAATTCAAAATACAGCATCCATACAAAGATGTTATAATTTTAAAAAAGAGAAAACTAGAATAAAAAATTGAAGCATATGATAGAACATACATACACACACACAAATAGGATACCCACTTCAATAGACATTTTAGTACTCCGGCCTATAAAGCTAAATATAATAAGCCATACAATCCAACAATCTATCTCCTAGATATCTACCAAGCAAAATGAAAAAATACGTCCACACAAACGTTTACAACAGCTTTATTCAAGATATGCAAATTCTGGAAATAGCCAAGATGTTCATTAACAGAGAAACAAATTTATAAATTATCTTATATTTATGCAGTGAAATTCTATTCAACAATCAAAAAGGATGAACTACTGATATACTCAGAAACACGAATGCATCTAGAAAGTATGTTCTTACCTAAAAGCATACAGACACAAAAGGCTACATTCTTCATGATACTCATTTATAGTGCTTTCTAGAAAAGGCATACACAAAAAAACAGAAAACAGGTCTGTTTCCAAGGCGGTGGAGATAGGGGGAAAGGAGTTAAACAAAAAGAGGCACAAGGAAACCTCTCAGTTGTATATGTTGATTGTAGTGATGGTTACATAATTGTATATGTTTGTATATGTTTATCAAAACTCAACAAGCTATGCACTTAAGAACAGTGGATTTTAACATTTATACCAGGTACATACACTCCTTACAGCAATCAACCATGGGAGACCATAACGGCAGCAGTTGCACAGGGAGATAGCTTAGAGAGTAGGAATGTTTAGGAAAGGACATAGGGAAAGGGTAACCACAGGAAAGAAGTAGGAAGAGAGCTGTTACATTATGGAGACTGCAGTCAATGTCATGAAACAAAATTTGTATGAACTGTTGTATGGAAAATGAATTTCCTCTGTAAACTTTCACTGTCGTATCTATCTATCTATCTATCTACAGATAGATAGATATAGATAGATAGATATAGATATAGATAGATATAGATATAGATAGATATATAGATATAGATATAGACATAGATATAGTTATATAACTCAAACCAAACTCACTGCCATCGAGTCAATTTCGACTCATAGCAGCCCCCATTGAGTTTCCAAGGCAGTGAATCATTAAAGAAGTAGATTGTCCTGTCTTTCTTCCACCGAGCAGCTGGTGGGTTTGAACCGCCAACCTTTTGGTTAGCAGTCAAATGCCTTAGACACTACACCACCAGAGCTCCTTAATATACATACTACATATATGTGTGTGTATGTGTGTGTGTGTATTTCAGTGGATTTTGTTGTATGGAACTTAAGGTATATGATTTAAAAAAAAAAAATTACCACAGTCTAACAAACAGGTTCTTATAGGTGACAGAATTGGCAAAAGACTATAAGAACATGTAACAGATACTAAAGAAAAAATAGTGTAAGCCAGGACTTTATATATAGCCAAGTGATTCTTTAAGAACCAAGACTTGAAAATATAGATTGAAAGGATAATACCAAGGGATTTTTATCCCATGAATGTAAGAATTACACAATATTAGGAAATCCATCAAGATAATTCATCATATTAATAGCTATAAGGAGAAAATATTATATGTTCATCTTATAGATACCAAAAAGTCATTTGACAAATTTCAACATCCAATCTGATTTTCAAAAATTTAGTGACTATTTCCTTACTAGGTTAAAGTATATATTATACAGTAGTGAAACGTTGTCTGAATTAAGTGACAAAAAAGCAAAAAAACTTACTATTATCACTACTATTTTAAACTTGCAATACTGGTCTCTGCTAAATCAAAGACCAAGCAGAAAAAAGCCATAAGCCTAAGAAGTAAAAAGAAAGAAGAAAATCTATATATGAAAACATAACTTGAAAACCCAAGAAAACACACAAAATAATTTATAATAAGAGAATAAATGATAAAAGAATTCACTAGGAGACTGATATATAATATTAGCACATCAAGATCAAGAGATATTAATTATATATACAAACTATAACCAAAAAGAAAATACAATGGAACAGACCAAAAACCAAACCAAACTCATTACCATTGAGTCGGATCCAACTCACAGGGACCCCTCCTTGGGTTTCCAAGGTGGTATCAGTACAGAAATAGACTGCCCAACCTTCCTTCTGAGGAGTGGTTGGTGGGTTTGAACTGCCAGCCTTCTGGTTAGCAGTCAGATGCCTTAGGCACTATGCCACCAGGGCTCCCCAAAACCCATTGCCATTAAGTTAATACTGACTCTATATGACAGAGCAGAAATGCCCATAGGGTTTACAAAGCTATAACTTTACAGAGGAGTTTTGGTGGCATAGTGCCTAAGGCACTTGATTGCTAACCAGAAGGCTGGCAGTTCAAACCCACCAGCCACTCCTCAGAAGGAAGACTGGGCAATCTACTTCCATGGAGATACCACCTCCAACACCCAAGGAGGAGTTGCTATAAGTCAGAACTGACTCAATGGCAGTGAGTTTGGTATTTGGTTTTATTGTCTGTCCTGTAGACACAGTAAATGTAACCAAAAGCTATATTTTCTAGTTGCTTCTTCTTCCCCACCATGCTGTGCTTCTTTCATATTTTAAATCTTGTTTAATGATGTCATCAGCTACTATTCTCCCTAACTAGAATCATAATTTCTTCTTTGACCTGTATCTCTCCATCCTATCTCTTTCTGTAATCTGACTACATTTTGTATCCTTTCTGCCACAACCTATTAAAATTTTTAAAATGTATAAATCTTTCAACCCCATAATCCTAAGGATCTATTTCATAGAAATAAAAGCATAATTATGTAAGAACAAAGTGTTACGAGTTGTGTAGTATGTCTATATATCCTCTTGCTCCTTCCACTGAATTAGGCCTCAGGGTCAAGAATCAATGCAATAGATGATCCATGGCAGTTCAGAGCCCTAACAACAGGCTGGACCCAAATAGGAGTGCTGAAGGATGAGAGCTCATTCTGGCAGCTACCAGAAGTGTTGACTCTTATGGTTTCCAATTCCTGAGAGATCCAGGAATTACCCTTGAGACAGAAGTGAGACACCATTTCAGAAGAAGTCTACCTTCAATGAAGTAATTGATATTTTGTATAAAGGCCAGGGTTTCTTGCCTACATTGAGGATGACTATGAAGGGAAATCCCAAACCCAGAGCTTCTGGAGGAGTCAGTGAGGCTTCTGCTGCAACTACATTGCATCTCACTTAATCCTTCTGCTCAAATTTGTTTCCTTTAAACACTAGTGTTACTGTTGGACTCAGATCTTGAAATGAGTGTCGGCGCAAGGAAGCTACCACTGACATGATAATGCCAAAGCAAAAGGAAAGTTTATTAGCTAGCTCGAGCTAGGGTCTCAGCTTACACAGACACAGCGGCTTGGGCAAAAGACCCCGTGCTCTCCTACTATTACATTTTTATAGGAAAAATATAGGGTGGAGTTACACCAAGGCAATGGGGTACAAATGATTGGTTGTTGCTAGGGGGTAGAGAAGGAGGGGAGGGGGTTTGAGGTAAAGCCTTGAGGCGTGGGGGACATGCTGGAATGCCCGGCATTAAAGACTCCTGGTTAGAGAATAATTACCTGCAGGGGATGTAAAGCCCTGAGGCGTGGGGGACGTGCTGGAGCCAGGTAAAGTTCTGAGGCGTGGGGGACGTGCTGGGATCCCCAGCACTAAAGACTTCTGGTTAAAGAATTACCTGGAGGGCATTAGGACTCAGGCCTCACATTCTTTAGGACTCAGGCCTCACACTAAAGACTCCTGGTTAAAGAATTACCTGGAGGGCATTAGGACTCAGGCCTCACATTACTAGTAGGAGTAAACTCCTCACATGCCTTATAATCACTTTCTGGGAAAACCCAAATGAATATTATGGTAAATGCTTATATAGCATTTATTTTTTTCCAGGAACTCATTTAATCACTACAAAGTTTTCAGATATAGAAAGCATCTCTAAGGGTGCACATCTGGTAAGTAGTTAAACAAGAATTAAAACCCAGGGTACTGAGCCCATTTTCTTAACCATAAAGCTTTTACTATAAGTTCAAATACATTGTTGTGCACTGTTTTTAAAAATATATTAAAACATATGTGGAGAACTCTGGAAGAGAGAGTATAGCATGTTGGAGGCAATGAAAAAGATCCAGTTTTACTCCAAGAAAGTGATCTGCAATAAGGTCAAAAGTCTAGAGAGAGAGAGATGATTTTCATCATAGTTCCATAAGCAGCGTCTTTTAGATTTCAGTAAAGCCCTTTGGTTCTGACTCTAGTCCATACTGTGGTTGCCTACTCAAAAAATCCAAAACATATTTTCTCTGGCAAGTTTCAAAGGCTCCATGATTGTAAGGGCTCCATGAACCAGACGAGTTCTTTTGGGTCTAAGGCAATGATCTGTTTCCTGCCTAGCTAAACTTCTTTGGGCCTTCTAAATGAAGATGTAAGTTTCTCTAAAACACCCTATGTTAGAGCTGGCCATGCCCTTTTGTGATGTTAGCTAGCAAACTACTCATGTCAAGGAACTTAAAATCCTTATCTCCTTCACTGCCTCCCACTCAATGTCGACTAATTCTGGAGCATATAATTCTAACTCTAAATTGCACTTCCTCTGAAATTGGGTCTCTTTAGTCTAGCATATATAACTTCTTTCAAAGCCTCTAGTTCTCCCTATACCTTTATATCTGACAGCTCTCCTGGACTTCTGAGCCCCTTGGTCCTTCTACTGCACTAGGCTCCAAGGTCAAGGGTCAAGCCAGTAGATGATTCCATGGCAGTTAGCAGCCCTGACAGCAGGCTGACCCAGATGAAGGAGTGGTAAAGCGTGGGAGCTATCTTCTCTGTTCCATAGACTACCTCAGCTTCTGCCAATGCTAATGCTTCAGCAATCACTGAAAGTCAAGATTTTTCCCTGTGACTAATCAAATCAGAGAAGAGAAGAGAGATCTACATGTGAGAGATTTATGGTGGTCTCAACTAGAAAACTCCATTGACAATGGTGGAAATATCTATTAGAAGTATCCAGAACACCAACATGATCCTCTCCTCCTTGGCTTTAATCATCATGGTGATAGGAACCGTCACTGATAAATGGATTGAATTGAAGTTGGAAACAAAAACAATCACAATAAACCACAGTCCCTGGATGATATGTTGCATTACAATTTGGCCAGAAGGTCAGAACTAGACTATGGAAAGAGATGGGTGGCGAGGGTTCATCTTTTCTTCATTTCCATTCATCTCACCAGCTTTCCCATTATTCTCTGATGTAACTTCCTCAGGCTGCAGGGTGCTCACTTCCATAATCAACACAGTCAAGGAAGACTCCAAAATTTCACTCTTTGCATGCTTTGGGGGAAAGTTCAGAAGCTCACAGATTTAACTACTGGTCTCTTGAGAAGCCTATGCTGTAGCAACAGGGTGGTCAACACATGTAGAGCATGAGGTGTATGAAAGAAAGATAAATGACAAAAGGAAAGTGGATTATGTTAGCATGAAAAAAGTACCCAAGATAGGGTGATTTGGGAGATTTAACAATAAATGGATTCTCAGAAAAGAGCAGAAGAGAAAGAGGCATAAAGAAACATCAAGATAGACAACATATTCTTTTGGTTTTCTCTTCCACTCAGCTTTAAGTTCCCTGCCTCTTTATTGTCTTCTCCTCTCCCTCTTTATTATTTAATCAAATCTTTCACCCTATTCCCATTTTTACCTAGAGATTTGTGGAGCCCAGGTGGAAATGAACCTAGAAGAAATATCTGTCCTTCTCTCAATACAGCTTCTGCTTTCCAACAGATAAACTGGAAGTGGTCAGGATCATGATGATTTTGACTCTCAGTCTTTCCTTCCTCATTAACTTGGTCCTGGGTATGGAATTCACCTACCTGATTCCTCCAACCAACTATGTCCACCTCATCACTGCCTTCCTCAGTTTCCTCACAGGTAACTTCCTGGCTCCCCTAACCCAGGCTTAGAAGTATACTTGGTTTTGGGTCCAGGCTGAAGTTTCTGACTATAATAACATGTGAAAAAAAAAAAAAAAAAAGTGGCATATTGGCATTTATGAAAATACCTCTCAGGTGGAGGGAGCAGTTACTGGCATAAAAATATAGTAATTCAGCCTTTCCAGTTCTCTGGCTCTGATGTATTAGAGTTACCACTGTACAAGGTGCATTGGTCAGGGTGGAGGCTTGGAAGTGAAGTGTTTATCTTAGGTTAAAACGTGAGTACTGGAGACAAAATTCTTCAGAAGGGATTTTCTTTCTCCTTCTGTCTGGACATCAGGTATTCTTCTACTCTCTGCACTCGTACTGTATCACCATAAGCTAAGGCAAGGTCAATTCATATACTACTCTAGTTACAAGATCACCTGGATCCCTTACTCTGCCTACATAAATGTCACCTTCTTTGTTTCCTGTGGTGAGTGTTTTCAGGGCCCTTGAAGGGTGATAAAGACCAATTCACCCCTGATGAAAGAAAGGGAGGGTGAAAGGATGGGAAAAATGAATGGGGGAAAATGCCAAACCTTCCTTTCTAAACTCATGAAGATCAACCCAACACATTCTCTAAGGACAGTTCCTACAAGGGAGAAAACTGGAAATTAGGACTGTGTGAAATGTGTGGTATACCTGTCTCAGAGAGTAGGTTCTCATTTCCATGTTTTCTTCTGTCTTCCACACACTCTCCACCTCAGGACAGAGATAACTACAAGAAGAGGGTCTGTGAAGGAATGCCCAGTGAAGGGGAGAGGGCCAGTGATGCCAAGGCAATTTGAGGTCAGAAAGAAAAAAATATCTGATGCTAAATAATCAACACTGGAGAGCCTCTTTTCCTAAGAAATCTTGAAATTTCATCAGGAACTGCACTTCCTAACCCAAATAGAAACATGTCTCTTTTTTTTTCAAAAAGAGTCTCAAATTTGTTGAGTTGAGCAGCATTTAAACTATTCTGCACACACTTCCAGTCTCTGACTATAACTTCCTGAAGTGCTTAGGGCATTTCAAAGGGGTCCACAGGGTTTTTGGGTGAAGCTATCCCTGCCAACTGGTCAATCTACTTCCATAGAGATAAGACCTCGGAAACCCATTAAGGGGTTGCTATGAGTCAAAGTCGATTCGATGTCAGTGAGTTTGGTTTGTTTTTTTGGTTATCGCTGACAACACGGAAGAAAATGTCTCTGACTCGAAAATGTCCCTTCATTTCCTTTTCTGGCTTCTCTTTTTTTCCCCAGGAATCCTCTCTATTCTAAACTATTTGCAGTTGGTCAAGAGCTTTACCTGCTTCAACTTCATCAACAAATCTGTTAGAGAGTGTAACAAAGTATGGCAATCTGGGGATTCTATCAAAGTTATTTCATCAGTAGACCCCGCTATAATGCCTCGCAGCATTGTGCGTCCATACTCCATGAGTCTAAAGGTCGATGATGTAGAGAAATCACCACCAGTTCAAGCACGTCGTGTAACCTGGGCTCTATGATTTGCCGATCTGTATATTTCAGTCTTTGTTAATCTTTATGAAAACAGCTTTGGGTGTTTGCGCTGTATCTCCAATCATTTTGCCAGTGCTCTGTTCTATGTAAATGTCTGTGATTGGCTTGGAGTCTGTAAGAAGACTCAGATGATGGCTTTGTTTTACCGGTCTGCTGAACATAGTTTCTTCTACATCATTTGTATTTAATATAATAAAGTATTATCCTACCAATAATGCTTGCTGTATTGTGCTGTATTGTTAACTCTATATGTCACAGAGACCAGAGTAATATATAATATCCTTTGCTTTTTTAAATAAAAGTTTAGTTTATTGTGAAATATTTCAAACATACAGAAAAGAATACAAAACAATATGATAAACACTTATGTGTACATCACCTAACTTCATGAAATCTTAATTTTATACTCTATTTATATTAGAGGGAGCTCTGGTGGCATACTTTCTAAAGCATTTGACTATTAACCAGAAGGCTGGTGGTTCAAACCCACCAGCCACTCCTCAGAAGGAAGACTGGACAATTTACTTCTGTAGAGATTTATATTAGATGTTTTAAAATTAAATTTATAGCTATAACTGATATTCCCCAATCATGTTTCCCTTTCTTGTTTTTCATCATAGAGAACTGTTAAGAAGGCATTGCTGATCAATTTATATTCATGCTGTTTTTGTTATAATTTTATTGGTCTCTAAAAATTAGATTTCCAGGTTTCAAAAGTTATTAAATATTATCATATTTTACAACTTGCTTTCTTCATTCACTTTTGTTTTTTAGACTTATCCATACTGATAAATTTAGTTCTACTTAATTTAATCTACTGTCAGTCTTTCTATTATAGAAATTTATATCCATTCCCTAATTAATGGACTTCTGGATATTTTCCTTTAGTCTATTAGAAACAATGCTTTGTCCATGAAGTAGGATTTCTCTAGGGTATTTCTCTAGAACTAGAATTGCTGAATCAAAAAGAATAGTTGTTATTAAGTTGCTTAAATATTGGTAAAATGATCTCAAAACAACAGTACCAATGGACATTTTCTGCCAGAAGTACATGAAAGCTCTGCTTTCCTCATACCCTTACAAACACTTGTGCAGTTAGCCTTTTTAAGTTCTGACGATTTGAATCAGTGTTGTTTTAATTTTCACATTCCTAATTATTACTGAACTTGATGAGCACCTTTTCATTAGATCTTGGAGCATTTGGATTTCCTTTTCTGTGAATTACAGTTTTTATACTTTGTCTATTTTCCTACTGGGTTACTAGTTTATTTCATATTGATTTGTAGTTCTTATAATACTGCAAACTAATACTTACTTGTTATATGCATTGAACATATATTGTTCCAGTTGTGCCTTATAACTTTGTTTGTGGTTTATAACTTTGTTTATGATGCCTTTTGGTTTTTTAAATTAAAATGGTATTTAAATTAAATTTAACAAACTACATTAATCTTTTCCTTTTAATTAGTGCCTTATTGTATCTTGATTAAGAAAATCTCCCCTACTCTTTACTCCTACTAGAAATAATTTCTATGAATTATATAAATATAGGTCCAATTTTATCTATTTTTTATGTGGATGGTTTGTATCCAGAACATTTTGTCTTAATCCAAATACACATATATGTGAATGTGTTTCTGATCTCTCTACTGTGTTCCATTGGTCTATATTTTATCCCTGTACCATGTCACTCTCTTGATCACTATGAAGTAAAAATAAGTCTTGATTTTTAATAGGCTGAAATCTTTCTTTGCTTTTGTTCAAAATTATCTTTAGTATTCTTGGCCTTTTGCTTTCCATATAAATAAAAGGATCAGCTAGTGTGGTTACAAAAAAAAAAAATCCCAGTCTATTTAGAATTCCATTGAATTTATGAACTAATTTGAGAACTATTGACAATGTTAGTAATATCTATCAATATGGTACTATTTATTCAGGTCTTTTTAAGTCCTTCCATATTGCTTTCTGATTTTTTTTCTTTTTCCCCAATGACATCTTTTGTTAGGTTGATTCGTAGATGGCTTACCATTTTTGTGGTTTTGTGAATCAGAATCTTTTATATTTTCTTCTTGTTCATTACAGGTATAGAGTGGTCTATTTTTGTATACTGGTTTTATATTCAGGAGCTCTGGTGGCATAGTGCCTAAGGCATTGGACTACTAACCAGAAGGCTGGAGGTTCAAACCCACCAGTCACTCCTCGGAAGGAAGACTGGGCAATCTACTTCCGTAGAGGTACCACTTCAGAAACCCAAGGAAGGGTCATTATGAGTCAGAGCCGAATCGATGGCAGTTAATTGAGTTGAGTTGACTGAAATCCCAATTAATTTTTTTTTTCCTTATTCCAATAATGGACTCTATCACATAAATAAAATAATTTATAGGATTTTTTTTTTCTGTATTTTATTGTGAAATATTTCAAACATACAGAGAACACTAGAAAACAGTATGATAATAACACCTCTATACTCATCACCCAAATTTCTGAAATCTTACCGTTATGCCCTATTTACTTTAAGTTGTTTTAAATTAAACTTAGAGATTTAACTAATGTTCCTCCCCAATTTCCCCAAATTTATTTTCCTCCCATGTTTTTTATTTACAACATTTTGCATTCCTGGGAAAATTCCTACTTAGTCATGTTGTAATTTTTTAAATAAACTGCTGAAATGAAGCTTCTAAATATTTTAGAATTCTTTAATCTATTTTTACAAGTAAATGTGGCTATGATTTCACTTCTTGCACTCATCCATCTTTCTATCTTTCTGATTTTGTTTGATTTGGAAGAAATTTTGGATAATTTTTTTTTAAAATATAATATGTATACAGAAAAGTTCAGAAATCATAAATGCACAGCTTTTTGAATATTTTACAAACAGAACACACTTGAATAACCAGAACACTAATAAAGAAACAGAATATTAGCAACATCTCAGAAGTTTTCTCCATGCCATCCTATTTACTCCCGCAAAGGCAATAATTATGACTTCAAATTCTATTGGTTGATTTTTACCAGATTTTAAATTTTATATAAATGGAATCTTATAACGTGTACTATTCATTCCTGGTTCCCTTCATGTAACAGTACTTATGAGAATGATCAATGTTGTGTTGCTGCATCTATTGTATGAATATGCCACAACATAGTTATTCATTCTACTGTTACACTTTACCACTTTGGAGCAATGAACATTTTTTTACATATATTTTGGTGGACTTCTATAAACATTTTTGTTGTTCTTTTATCTAAAAGGGAATTGTTAGATCATACATTACGTGTGTCCACACTCTAATTTACACATTGTGCTTAGCAGCAACATATGAAAGTACCAATTGCCCCACATGCCTGACAACTGTCAATGTTGTCATGTTTGTTTCAGCCTAACCACTTTGGTGGGTGTATTAACGGTATGGCATTGTAATTTTAACTTGCATTTCCTTAATGGCTAATGAAGATGAGCAATTTTTACTTACTTATTGTTAAATTGAACATCTTCTTTTATGAGTGTCAGTTTGAGTATTTTCCCATTTGTCTATTGAGTTTATCTATTAACAAAGGATGTAAATCCTCTGTCACCTTTACAAATAATGCAAATATTTTCTCCCACACTATAGCTTGAACTTTTATGCTCATGATGGAATCTTTTGATGAACAAACTTTCTTATTTTGCTGGAATCTAATTTATCAATTGTTTCCTGTTATGGTTAGAGTTTTTTTTTCTAACCTATGTAGGAAATCTTTTCCTACACAAAGGTCATACACATATACTCCTATGATTTGCCTAAAATCTGTATTATTTGATTTTTCATGTCTAGATGTTCATTTGTTTATAATTGATTTTTACATATGATGTAAGATAGGAGACCAAGATTTGCTTTTTCTTAAATTAGTAACCAATTTATCCAATATTTATTCATTTGAGAAAAAAAAACTCTCTTCACTGCATTGTCACATTTATCATAAATAAGTGAGCAAATTTTTTGTATGAAAATGTCAGATGTTTCTTTTTATTTGTCTATCCTAATGCCAACACCTCACTGACTTATTCCTATAGTTTTATACTTGATTTCTGTCAGGATAAGGCCTCCAGATATGTTATTCTTTCTTAAGATTCCTCGGACTATTTTTGAAATTTTGAATTTCCATATTCTTCTTAGAATTAGCTTGTCAAATTCTATAAGGAAATTTGTTAGAATTAGGATTGAATTAAACCTGTAAATCCATTCAGAGAAAAATGGCTTCTTTACAACACTGAATTTCCTTATAAACGAGCAGAAAATCTCCCTCCAGTTATGTAGGTCATTTTTAATATTTCTAAATAATAGATGTTTTTATTTTCAGTGTAGATAACTTACACATCTTTTGTTAGATGTGTTTGTTGGCATTAGAATTTTTAATCTACTAGTAAAGGTATCATTTTTAAAATTCATATTTATCTGTTTGTTGTTTGTTAGTATATAGAAATGCTGCTGTTGGGTGTTGTGGAATTGATTTTGACTCATAACACTCTACAAGATCAAGTAAAACTGCCCCATAGGGTTTCGTAGACTGTAATCTTTATGGGAGCAAATTGCTCTTCTCTCATGAAGCCACTGGTGAGTTTGAACCTCCAACATTGTGGTTAACAGCCAACTGCTTAAATATTGCACCATCAAACCAAAACTAAACCCATTGCCATCGAGTGGATTCAGACTCATTGTGACCCTACAGAACAGAGTAGATCTGCCTCTTGGAGTTTCCAAGGCTGTAAATCTTTATGGAAGAAAATTGCCACATCTTTCTCCCATGGAGCAGCTGGTGGATTCAAACCACTGACTTTACAGTTAGTGGCCAAGTGCTTAGTCACTGTGCCACCAGGGCTCCTTACTGAGCCACCAGGGCTTCTATATATAAATACAGCATACCTACTTTTATATTTTCAGAAGGAAGATGGTACAATCTACTTCCATAGTGATACTGCCTCGGAAACCCAAGGAGGGGTCGCTAT